GAACTGCTGTGGCAATCATAGCTCATAGCAACCTCAAACTGCTGGGCTTAAAGGGTCTTCTTTCCTCAGCCTCTCAAGTAGCTAAGACTACGGGCTCCAGTCCTTCTGGAAGGCCAAGGTAGGGGGATTGCTTAAGCTCAGTACCCCCCCCCTTTTTTTTTTTTTTCAGACAGTTTTACTTTGTTGCCCTTGTGCCCTTGATGAACTGCTGTGGCAATCATAGCTCATAGCAACCTCAAACTGCTGGGCTTAAAGGGTCTTCTTTCCTCAGCCTCTCAAGTAGCTAAGACTACGGGCACCCTCCACAATGCCTGGCTACTTTTTTAGAGATGAGGTCTCGTTCTTGCTCAAGCTGGTCTAGTCTTGATTTGTGAGCTCAAGCAGTCTACCTGCCTCAGCCTCCCAGAGTACTAGGATAATAGGTGTGAGCCACTGTGCCCGGCCTAGAAGAGAATTTTTAAACCTTTATCACATAAAAAAAAATTGGGGGACAGCGCCTGTGGCTCAAAGGAGTAGGGCGCTGGCCCCATATGTGAGAATTGGCAAAACCCAGCCCTGGCCAAAAACTGCTTAAGAAAAAAATATTTTTTTTGATGCCTTAGTAGTTAAATTGTTTTTCCAAAAGTCTTTTAGCATTAAGTCTCTAGAACAGCCATTCTCAACCTGTGGGTTGCGACCCCTTTGGACTGTTAACGGTTCACAGCATTAGAAAGGTTGAGAACCACCGCTCTGGAATGAAGATTTTCTAAATGTACAAGCAGTGAGAGAAGTTAGCAAAGAAATGGTCATAGTCTTTGATTATTTTTGAACTACATGTCAAAAGTAATACGTTGAAAGGAAACTGGCAGAATGGGAAGAATATCTGTAATATTAAGAAATAACGTCAGTCGGGTGTGATGGGCTCATACCTGGAATCCTTGTACCTTGAGAGGCTGAGGTAGGAGATTCGCTTGATCTCAGGAGTTTGAAACCAGCCTGAGCAAGAGTAATCTCTTGTCTCTCCTAAAAACATAAAAATTAGCTGGATGTCACAGTAGATGCCTATAGTCTTACTACATGCTAAAGGAGGAGAGTGGATTGAGCCTCAGTAGTTTGAGGCTGCAGTCAGTATGATACTTGGCCCCTACCCTGTGAAACAGAGGGAGGCTCTGGCTCTTAAAAAAAAAAAAAAAGGAAATAACAAACAGGGCCAGGTGAGGTGGCTTATGCCTGTAATCCCAGCACTCTGGGAGGCTGAAGCAGATGGATTGCCTGAGCTCACAGATTGCCTGAGCAAGAGGGAGACCCCATCTCTAAAAAATAGCTGACACCATTGTGTAGGGTGACTGTAGTCCCAGCTTTTCAAGAGGCTGAGACAAGAGAATCATTTGAGCCCAAAAGTTAGAGGTTGCTGTGAGCTATGACACCATGGCACTCTACCAAGGGCAACAAAGTGAAACTCTGTCTCAAAAAAGAAAAGCCCAAAAGACTTGAAGAGATGGCTTGGCGCCTATGGCTCAATCGGCCAAGGCGCCAGCCACATACACCTAAGGTGGTGGGTTCGAATCCCCAGCCCGGCCCGCCAAACAACAATGATGGCTGCAACCAAAAAAATGGCCGGTGCTGTGGCAGGCGCCTGTAGTCCCAGCTACTTGGGAGGCTGAGGCAGGAGACTCGCTTGAGCCCAGGAGTTGGAGGTTGCTGTGAGCTGTGAGGCCATGGCACTCTGCCCAGGGGGATAGCTTGAGGCTCCGTCTCAAAAAAAAAAAAAAAGACTTGAAGAGATGCTCATTCTTACTAGTAAATAAAAGTAAGTATCAATTATATGTATTTTAGAGTTAATGTAATTTTTCTCTTTTAGGAAGTGAAAGCTTTGTTTAAAAATGAAAACTGCCCCAAAGTGATAAGCTGTGAGTTTGCACACAATAGCAACTGGTATATCACTTTCCAGTCTGACACAGATGCCCAGCAGGTGAGAAGAAAACTTGCTTTCTTAAACAAGTCATGGTGGTAAAATAAATAGTGGCATATTTAAATTGTGAAAATGTGTTTGTTTAAATATTTAACTTGTTCAACTGTTTGTTGAAACTCATGAACTCCCCTTTTTTCTTTTGCTCAACTGGTTTCCTTTTTCACCACGACCTAAAGTTTTTCAGTTTAAACTTCAGAACAGATTGTTTCCTGTCATTAAAAAACTTAATACACAAAATTTTAGAATTAACCTGGGGACTAGGAGTACTAACCTGTACTCAGTAGTGTATTTAGTACATAGTAGGTACTAAACTCTTGGAGTTTTGGCTTAATGGTTTTACTCTTGTTTATTATCATGTCCTTTTTTTTTTCTTTTTGGAGACAGAGTCTCACTGTATCACCCTCAGTAGAATGCTGTGACATTCCAACTCACAACAACCTCAAACTCTTGGGCTTAAGTGATTCTCTTGCCTTAGCCTCCCAAGTAGCTGATTGGGAGGGATTACAGGAGCCCGTCACAAGGCCTGGCTATTTTTTTGTTGTATTTGCCATTGTTGTTTAGCAGGCCCGGGCCCAGTTTGAACCCCTCTGCCCTGGTGTTTGTGGCCAGTGCCCTGCCCACTGAGCTATGGGCACCACATGGATGCACTTTTCAGCATTTTATTTTATTAAAGTTATCTGTGATAGCTGGTAGCTCTTGAGCTTCTCCCATCCACATCTCCCTACTCCCCATGCTACTGTTACAATAGATTTCTGTTTTAAATTCATACTTATGATCCTGTATTATTACTATATTTTTTTTACAAATCAATATGAGGATACAGATTTTTAGGTTACATTGTTTTCAGTTCTAAGGTAAAGTTCAAGTTATTTTTGAGTCCCTCATTTTTAAATTGCTCACTAATTTTTATTCTTTTTTAAAAAATCAGGGCCATGGCTCGGCGCCTATAGCTCAACCGGCTAAGGTGCCAGCCACGTACACCTAAGGTGGCGGGTTCGAATCCCCAGCCCAGATCCGCCAAACAAC